CCGAATCTAGCTGGACTGTTTCCTCCAAATTGCTTATATAAAATTTTATGAAATTTGTTACTCGTCCGACATATTGAATCCACCATTTTGAATTTTTGAAAACTGACTTCTGATTCGTAATCAGCAAGCCGAAAAACCTTTGAATGTTAGATCCCCCATTTTGAATTTTTGAAAATTAACTGACTTTAGATTCGTAATTATTGGCTCCAATAACCCTTACACAGAAATGAATATGAGTCTACAAATGCATTATGGAAAGCTTGTACACATTTTTGCATTTCTTATGCGTTTTCTTGCATTTTGTTTCACTCAATTGCAGTTTCAGAACAAATAAGTTACAAATAGTAGCAGCTAAACTTGCTTTTATATGAATCTGTAACTATTTCCCGTCTAGAAATTTATCGTGGAAGTGTATGAGAAACTGTCCAGTTGTGCTAGATTCAACCTAGCATCTAGATGGGAAAACTGGACAGGCTTGAACGTGGGATGTAACGCTAGCAAAGACAAGATTTTGTACAGGTCTTCTGCCCAGTGGGAAAAGCACGATTGGCTGAATATTGGTCCAACATTGGGAGCACTTTTGCCAATCTTAGTCCATTATTTTAACCAATATTCGACCAAGTCTGGAAGTGTAGAGACCAATGCCAAGGCTCGAATTTCAATATTGGCCCAATATTCAAAAAAAAGAAAAATCAGACTTCATCCAAGATTAAAAAAATTAATTATTAAAACTGAAATATAATAAAAATTTTGGTTATATTTATTTATTATATTTTATTATATATAATAACATTATTATTTCCCTTCGGATCAAGGGTTATATATAAAATCATCCGCAACAAACGGAGAAAAAGGAAAAAATATTTTCTAACGTCCTGCTGGCATTAACAATTATCAGCTAAATAAAAGAAATATTGTGAAGATTCTGTACATATCGCGGATACTTATACCCTAACTGATTGGTGTTTATGAGAGAAAAAAACACTGTCATCTGGCGGATAGTTGGAAAGTTAACGTGGCGCGAAATTCAAACTGCATGAAGGAAAAACTGTAAGTATAAAGAATTAAAATTAAAAACATTATTTGTGACCATAATAACATTAATTAAGTTTTGTTTAATGCAATAGTATGCATTCTTAAGTAAATACATTTTCAAGTAACTGTTTATACTTACAATTTTTCCTTCACGCAATTTGAATTTCGCGCTACGTTAACTTTCCAACAATCCGCCAGATGGCAGTATTTTTCTCTCTCATAAACACCAATCGGTTAGGGTATAAGTATCCACGATATGTACAGAATCTTCACAATATCTCTTTTATTTAGCTAATAATTGTTAATGCCTAGCAGGACGTTAGAAAATATTTTTTCCTTTTTCTCCGTTTGTTGCGGATGATTTTATATATAACCCTTGATCCGAAAGGAAATAATAATGTTATTATATATAATAAAAAATAATATATAAATATAACCAAAATTTTTATTATATTTCAGTTTTAATAATTAATTTTTTTAATCTTGGCTGAAGTCTGATTTTTTGTATTTTTAAATATTGGTTGAATATTGAGACAATATTGAAATTTGAGCCTTGGCATTGATCTCTACACTTCCAGACTTGGTCCAATATTGGCTAAAATAACTGATCCAATATTTAGTCTTGGCAATTACCCACTGGGTGTCAAGTCCTTGTCTAGTAAAATAAAGTGATTCTAGCCAGTTCCACGATAATAAAAAAGTAGTTTCTACCTACATAGAATATAATTGATATTTGTAAATATAAAAGAATATTTTTCAATTTTACTTTTTCGTTTGTTTAACATAAATGATATTACAAAAGTATTTTTTAATAACACAATTTCTCTTAAGGCTGATTTTCATGGGGCGAAAAATTCGCGGCGATTTGGCGATATACAAACATGCGGTAAATTAACTTGACGCATCGGTGATTAAAAATTTGTTTTAATAACCTGAATGTAAAATGTCATGAGTTTCGGTTTTTTCAAAATTTTTCAATTTAAAAATCGTGGAAAAAAAGGAAAATATAAAAAGAAAAAATTATTGAAATTAATTTTCATTATATTTGAGGTGTATCAAGTTAGAAAAACAACTTTCGTAAAGTCAAAAATCTCATATTGGAGAATTTGCCGCTAATTTGCCGCTAATTATTCGTGAAATTCCCAATTTTGCCGTTTTGATTTAAAAAAAAAAACAGGTTGCACTTCTAACTTGATATCAAGTTAGCAGTGAAACCACTGTAAATGAAAGGATAAAAAAAATCTGAACACACATGATTTTGTCGTAAATTTGCCGTAATCAAATCCCACAATTAGTTTCTCAAAATATTTTAAAATGACACTAAACTTCGCAATATTCTATCAGAATTTTCTAAAATTTATATTCTTCCATCTTCAAAATCATTTTAATATAATTAGTAAGTCGAAAACGACTTATTTAAACGAAGCTGAAGAACGCAACGTTTATATAAACGATTTTTAAAGAAATAATTTTTTACAATGAAAAATTCTATAATTTTTTTCCTAAACAATATTTCTTGTAGTTTTCATTAATAATCAAATTATAAAAAAATATTTTTTAGGCAAAAAATTATAAAATGTTTCATTTTAAAAAATTATTTCCTTAAAAATCGTTTATATAAACATTGCGTACATCAGCTTCTTTTATTTAACAATTAATCTATATACTCAACTATCAGACTAACGACCAAATTCCTGATAAAAAACTAAAAAACCAATCGAAAATCTGGGTCAGAAATAATTTTGACACTTTTTCTATGCCTTGGGATTTTGCCGTAGCAGCTAATTTAATTATCTGTGAAGAAAGAGTACTTTAAATCAATTAATTGACTATTTTTTATTATTAATATCAAAAAAAGTTAGCAAAACAGTCGAAAATTTCGGTCAGAAATAATTCTGACAATTTTTCTATGCATTGGGATTTTGCCTTACCAGCTAGTTTAATTATTCGTGAAGAATAAGTACGTCTAATAAACTATCTGACTTATAAATATCAAAAAAAGTTAGCAAGAGTCGAAAATTTCGGTCAAAAATAATTTTGAGAATTTTTCTGTGCCATATATATTTACTGTTTCAGCTAATTTAATTATTTGTGAAAAAAAACTACGCCAAATAAAATATTTGACTTTTGTAAGAATTATTAAAAACGTATACATGTAACAGTAGAGTCTAAAATCTTTGTCAGAAATAAGATTCGATTGGTTTTTTAGTTTTTTATCAGGAATTTGGTCGTTAGTCTGATAGTTGAGTATATAGATTCATTGTTAAATAAAAGAAGCTGATGTACGCATTGTTTATATAAACGATTTTTAAGAAAATAATTTTTTAAAATAAAACATTTTATAATTTTTTGCCTAAAAAATATTTTTTTATAATTTGATTATTAATGAAAACTACAAGAAATATTGTTTAGGAAAAAAATTATAGAATTTTTCATTGTAAAAAATTATTTCTTTAAAAATCGTTTATATAAACGTTGCGTTCTTCAGCTTCGTTTAAATAAGTCGTTTTCGACTTACTAATTATATTAAAATGATTTTGAAGATGGAAGAATATAAATTTTAGAAAATTCTGATAGAATATTGCGAAGTTTAGTGTCATTTTAAAATATTTTGAGAAACTAATTGTGGGATTTGATTACGGCAAATTTACGACAAAATCATGTGTGTTCAGATTTTTTTTATCCTTTCATTTACAGTAGTTGCACTGCTAACTTGATATCAAGTTAGCAGTGCAACCTGTTTTTTTTAAAAAATCAAAACGGCAAAATTGGGAATTTCACGAATAATTAGCGGCAAATTCTCCAATATGAGATTTTTGATTTTACGAAAGTTGTTTTTCTAACTTGATAGGGTTTTAGACCACTGTGGAACGGTCAGTTCATTGACTTTCGTCTATAAACGAAAAAAAAAAGTTTTAACTATTTAGAACTCAAACATTTTTCGATTTCATTAACCATAATCTTATGTAATAAATTTTATGTATTTTAGTTTTAATCAAACTACTATTTAAAAACTATTTACCTAATATTAAATAACTTATCAAAACATAAATTACTTAATTATGAACGTAGAAACAATTTATTTATTATAAATAATATTACTTTTAAATAATAATTAAAATGTAAGAACTTAAATGAGTAAAGAACATTAAATTTCAATTTTTTGTCATGAAAAAATATTAAGTCAAGTTAAATAATACTTATTCTTTTTAAAGTGAGGTTTTGATTCGAAACATATTTGAAAAATTATTCATTTTTTTAATTTTTTAAATTATATTACAATTTTAAATAATAAATATTGTCAAGAAGAAAATTGATACCGTCTAAACAACATTAATTAAAGTTGAAAAATTAAACCTTTGTTAATTTAACTATTCATATTAAAAATATTAATTAAAATTAAAAACAGAAATAATTTTTACTTAACAAACTTTTATTTCACAAGTTGTTTCGACAGTTAAGATCATTTTTACTTGGCTGAACATTTTGCATCCAAAATGTTTTTATTAGAATTTCTTAACTTTTTATATTACACACTCGAATGAAATATTTTTCGCCCTTGTATCATAAATAACTTGAATTTAATAACATTATGTACATTTAAGTGAATCAGAAAAATCTAAAATGAACAAATATTTAAAAATATATTTTAGGGATTTGTGGAAAAAAATAATTTTTTAGAAATGTTTTGTGGTGACAATCTTCTTTCAAAATATTTCACATGCAATAAAAAATTCAAAAACATTTAGTTTTATATTGCAATACGAATTCGTGGAGGAATTTTTTGAAATATAAATTTTTGGTTTTCAATAAAAAAAAAAGTGAAAAAACCTAAATTTAAATCACCTAAATGTGTGTAGTTTTAAATAAAATAAATTGAAAAATATATATTAACTATATTTTTCACAATAACAACAAGGCGTGTTAAATTTGACTTTAATATTAATTTTTAAAATTGTTTTCAGTTATAAACGTATTGATGTGATGTGCACACTACTAAATATGTGCTTACCGTTTGAAATACGGTATATCGGTACCTGCGTTGAAGACCAAGGGAAGCGTGATTACAATGATCTACGTGATACAGAGCACCATGCCAACAGTGTTATGGAACTGACGGAATTGACATCTGAAAGTGTTACAGAAAAACGCACACGAAGAAAACTTGTTCTTTACATGGCATTATTACATTCTTGTAATTATGCTTGTGCGGTTGTACTGTACAAGAACTTGGCAAATTTGGATGTTCAAGAAGTTATAAACTTGTTAAACGGGACCAGTTCAAATCAAGAAGATCAATCTCTTGAAGAACTTTTGCTACTTTACGCAATGGCACTTAATCATCCTGCTTTTACTTATGACCAAAAAAATACATTTGGTAATATTTTCGTTAAACTACAGGAGGAAGAAGCACGACTTAGTACTGCAAAGTCAAGTACTTCAACGTCCAACAAATCAACTCAAGTAATGTGTCTTTTTAGTACATCTAATCTTTACTGAAACAAATTTACATAGATAAGAGAAAACATATTTTAACCCGGAATTGCAGCCAAGTATTACATTTAATTTTGTTGTTATTTTTGCAGAGTTGTTTACCCTTTGTATCAAATGATCGTATGATAGATGTTGAAATGGGATCTAACTGTATTGTACCTTCAACAATGCCAACTTATCCTGGTAAGTATAAAATCTATAAAAGATTTATTAATAATGTTTTCCACATGAGGAACATTAACAAAATATTATTAATAGCAATCTTTCTATTAATATAATATTTAACGATATTAGCATTGCGAGCGTTACGGGACTGACACCCTTAAATGAGCTAACTGTTGTCATTGATCTAATAGTTTACCAGAACAATCGACAATAAGATTAACACTCAGGTTCAACAACCACAAACCCACGCAGTGTTTCATCACACCTGCTCTCGCGCTATACAAACTGACCGTTTGAACAGGATCTGACCGCCCAGCTCTTACTACCCCCTTAGTAAGTGAAAAAATGAGCTCTTCTAAGAGAGCCAACTTTCGGCTCATTGTCACATTGGGGAATTTTCTTTTGTAAAATGTGTAGAAATGAACTCTCCTTGGCTCTAGAAAGGGGCGCGAATGAAGTAAATGCTCCAAACTCTTTCGGTCTGCACAACAGCCACAACCCACCTCCAAATTCCATCTCATTCTTTCGGAGTGCTTCGCCGTACACGTGTGGCCTGATCTAAGTCTGGTAATAACGTTTATCCAAGCTTTGGATAAAGGGATATCCTTAAAACAGGGTCTCTATCAGAAAATGGTCACAGTTACGTCAACTAGGCCTTGCGATCAGGGAGAAGAGTTGTTTTAATAAGATCTGTTAAAGAAAGGAAAAGGGAATTCTGTTTACAGTGACATTGACCGCTTTGCACACTTTCTCTATCCTATGGTTGCCAACAAAACCGGAGTCCGAAGGTACCCAAAGAAAGCGAATTTCAACATTCTGTGGGGACTCTGAAGGCGGGAAAGGGTGTATAAAGTCGAGAATAGAGTAGAATAATTCGAGATTATCCTTATATTTTAAACAGTTTGCAATGCGATACACAGCCAACAGCGAATCTGTGATGCTAAGCATATTCTAAAGACTCTGCTCTCGTGCGTACTTCACTGCCCTGAAAATAGCGTACAGTTCTGTGGTAAGTAACGAAAGAATTGGCTGCATAAATATACTGCCACACCGGTTTCTGGAATAAAAGAAGCATAGGTGAAAATCAGCTCCGCGTGAGGGAAATTTTCATTAAGAAACCTTCTGAGCACCTCCTCAGGATTCGAATGAACAGCTAAAACGGCTCCAGATTTTGTATCACACTTCGGGAAATAGGTAAGGGCATTTCAATGCCAATCAAAGAAGTGCTGTCTTTTTGTTCTAAAAATAATGAGAAGGATGGGGATCGTGCGCTTAAAGGCATTAAGTAGTGAGAGTTTCGCCTTGTTCAATCCGAAAAGGGAATTCCAAGAGTTCTGCCATAAAATTTGATTAAAGAGGTCAATGGGTTGTCCGTCCACCTAAAATTTCTAGCCATGAGCATATTTGCCAGGTATGCGCATCTGAAGTAGAGGGGGAGTTCTCCCACCTCAGACAATAGAAAAAAGGTTGCGGTTGATCTCATCCAACCCAGCGATATTGTTAAAGCCGCGAACTGAATCTTCAGGTTCGAACGAGCAAAGTCAGAGAAAAGAGTAGAACCCCAGTCCAGGATTGCGCGAATGAGGTTACGATAAATCATGAGCACAAGAACCGGGGAGGTCCTCTACGTAACCCGGGATACAATCTTCAGAATCCCCAACGCAGCGCTCTAACTGCTTTATCCGCTAGCATCTTAATATGAGGAGCCCAATTAAGTTTCCGGTCCAGAAGGATGCCCAAGTACTTCATAGCAGGAAAACAATGTATCTCCGTATTTCCTATAAAAAATGTATGTTCTCGAAGTTTTTTCTAGATTTCGAGAAAATGCAACCAGTTTTTGCCCAAGTCACTCCCATTGTTTTGAGTCAGCGCGACAGGTTGTTATGCGCTTCCGTGACTTTTTCCCAGATCTTTTCCGGATTTTTAAACTTGGTATATAAGAGAAGATTGTCTGCATATACATATAACGAAATCGAAGTCCCGCGGCAAAAACTCTTCAATCCTTCTAAGGTAGAGATTGAAAAAATAGGAGACACAACTCCGTTTTGGGGGTCTCCAACACCACAGACTCTTGGTTGCTCGTTGTCCGAGGTAAAAGAGATTAGTCTTTTAAATGTTATGAAACTAATGAAGTTGTTGATATTAGAGTGGACATCCAGTTCAATCAATATCGCATTCAGGATACCCGATCTGACATTGTTGAATGCTCCTTTGATGTCAATGGATGTCGACAACGTGTATCAAGTCTCTTGATTCAACATCGTGCTCTAATTTAACTCGAATTAGTTTTTCAAATATTTTTGAAAAAACTGAAGTCAGAGCAATGGGGCGAAAACCCTTGCCCCCTGGGTTAGGGATCAAGGTAACCTGTGTCTTTCGCCAATCTTCTGGGAAGAAGGATGACAAAACCATTGAAACAGGAAACTTTATAATTTAATAAAATTTACAAAACGTGACTCCTTCACCCAGCGCGATCTAGGTTCAAAATATTGCTGGGGTTCAATTGAAAATATACACTTAATCAATAAATCTAACTGAGCCGACTCCACACAAAATTAACCTTTCGAAACAATTACAATGGTTGTCGAACGATCCAAAAGTGAACCGGCATATAAGAAGGAATTCCATCGCTATAGGATCTTTAAACTCTTCATTATTTCACCCGTGATGCCGTCAAGATCCGGTCTTGGCTTACTTGTTTCAATAGCCAGTTCGAGTTCCTTCTTTGTAAACACGCGAAATTCCTCATTCTCGAAACAGGATGAAGACTTTAAGTAAGGAATATTGACAAAAGGGACGTCTCCCTGATTAAATCGTTTCTAAAGTTGATAATTTCAAGAGAACAATCGTCCTTTGAGATATTAGTTTTTAGAAGAGCAGACCGCAAAGAAAGGGCTCTAACAATTCTCCACAGCTCTGCTGTTCCTTCCCCCGGGAACATATTCTCACAAAATGATTTAAATCATAGCATTTTTTGTTTCCTAATTAAATGTTTTAGATGATCATTCTTTTTTTTCAACTCCAATCTATTGTTTAAGGATTGATTCTGTCCTCGAGTATTTTGTTCCTTGTTTTAATTGATTAACTTTATGTTAATACCAATCATGTCATAAAATGAACCGAATTTAATTAGGTGGTACGTTTATTCTGGAAGCACGAAATAAATATAACATTTTTATTGCACTGCTATTTCTGACGTGGAACACATTCCAGTTAAAAGTATTATGTAAGTTGATGAAATTATCACTCGGTTGGTAAATATAAAATAGAATCTATCAATCTTTCCGAGTCAAAAAAGTAAAAATTAAAACACGATTATTTTAACGTCTCGACGGTACTACCGTCCTCTTTAGAACTGCAAAAATTTTATTATTTTGAAAAATTTGTTTACAATTTTAAAAAATCCCCAAAAAATTATAAAATTAAAATAAATACCATTAAAGAAAAAAGAAAAAAAAATATATGCACTGGAATTTTAGTCTAACTTCAAGGAATGATATTTTATAAAAAAAATCCCAATTTTCAGGAAACCTACATCCAATGTATTTGAGTGTGCTCTTTCCGAAAATGCTATCAAAAAAGGCTTAAAAAATGTTAAATAATGTTTATTTGCAAAATAACATGATTTTTTAATGGTTTTTTAATAAATTTACAAATATTTCGAAAGGAAAACAATTCTTCCGACAGCAATCTAGTATATAAATCGTGCACTCGATTGTTAAACTTCAAACAAAAAATATTTCCCCCCTCCTCCAGACTTTTATTTTTTCAAAATGGCGTCGAAAAGTTCAAAAAATTATAAAAAATAATTTAAATTTGCCAAATACTTTAAAGTTGACGAATTTAGCTAAAAATATTTACTCGGGGGGTTTCGGGGTTGCTGATTACGAATTTGATGTCAGAATTTGAAAAATCAAAATAACGGATTCAATATGGGGAGTAAACATTTTAAAAGTCGACAATTTTTTTGATATATTTTTTAGTTTTTTTTCTTTTCAATTCCTGATATTATTATTTTATTTACTTTTATATATTATGCTGTGTTTTTATTAATAAGAAACACAGTAAATAAAATATAAAATTAAAAAAAATTTATAAATAAATTAAAAATTTTATTTTAATAATAAAAATTTTATCAATAAAAAACAGCATAATATATAAAAGTAAATAAAATAATAAAATCAGTAATTGAATAGAAACAAAAAAATATTTTAAAAAACAAAAAAAAATTTTTAAAAATTGATTTTCAAAAATTATCTATCTCCCCGTGGTGAGAATCGGGCAACACCAATTAGGACTAGGTGGCTAATGATGGTATTCTAAATGGCTTTAGCAAAATTAATCGATTATAAAAATTTTTGGTTTTCATATTGGATTCGACATTTTAAATTTGGAATTTTAACATCAAATTCGTAATCAGCGATCCCGGAAACCCTAGAGTAAGCATTTTTATCTGAATACGTCGACTTAAAAATTTTTTTGATGGCTATAATGAATCCGTCATTTTGATTTTTCACATTCTGACATCAAAATCGTAATCAGCGACTCTGGAAACCCCCGAGTAAACATTTTTAGCTAAATTCGTCGACTTTAAAAAATTTGGCACATTTAAATTATTTTTTAAAATTTTTTGAACTTTTCGACGCCATTTTGAAAAAATAAAAGTCTGAAGGAGGGGGGAAATATTTTTTGTCCAACGCCTTCGGTGGAATTGTGCTATAGTACACTAGTCACCAGTGGAGGAATGAGAAATACTGAGAGTAGAGTGGGGATAAAAGGCATAATAAAAATTGTAAAATTAATAATAGATATTAACCAACTAACTGAAACTTTTAATGGTTGCTAATCACATAGTTGATGTCAAATTGACAGCTGTCATATTAACTGTCAACTTATTGTCAACTTAACATAAAATTTGTCATCAATGACACCGAAAACCCTTTTATTGAATTTTTTATTTAAAAAAATCACTTTTTATAAAACTTGACACTTGATTTGACAGCTGTCAAATTATAATG